AAGCGAGGGAGCTGACGTGTCGTGGTTCGCAAGAAGGGGAGCTGAGCTGCTGTGGTTCGCCTTCCGAAGCGAGGGCCCTTAGTGGTTTGCCTCTCAAAGCGGGGTGTTGTGGTTGGAATTGTCTTCGCCCAGTCAGCTGCTGGCTTGACTGTTGCGTTATTATCTGTTGTGGTTGGCTTCTCAAAGAGAGCTGTCGCAGTTTTTCTTGCGCCCCTCAGGCGGTTTCCTAAGAGTCCTTTCCTCCAGCGCTTTGCTGCTCCTAAGAAACCATGTCTAATACTTGTTGCCTTTCTTTTCAACGCTGATTTCATCGTAGAACTCCGTTCTGGACCCCTCCGTCTTGTGTTGCTTCTTCTTTTCAAGGCTGATTTCATCGTAGAACTCCGTTCTGGACCCCTCCGTCTTGTGTTGCTTCTTCTTCTTCTGGAAACTGCACTTAATGGAGTCTCCTCGTCACTCTTTGCTGTCTGTTTGGGTTGTGGATAGTTGGGTGTATTCCTCAACCTCTCCTTCTGGTGGGATCCGACTTCTGGTCGGGATTCCACGTTCTTCTGCTGTGCATGATATAGACAGTCTTCTCCAAGGGGAGAAAAATTTGGTGCCAATCCATCAAAAGAGCCTCGCAAAAAGGCGTCCCGGACAAAAGACTCTCCAAGCGAGCACGTCAGAGAGTCATCTTTCTCGAATGATGTTTGATTCGATAAAAAAGGTCCCGAGACTGCACAACTGATTGTGGCGACGGAACGAATTTTTTTTTCTATCATCGCCATTTTTTTCCCCGAACATGCCAACAGAAGGTCTTAGGTTTTCTTTTCGTGTTCAAAAATCGGTACAAGTCAGAAATTTATACAGAGTTACATTTTCATAAGAAATCATGGATTTAGATAAACAGTTGATGCCGACAAATACCGTTCCAAAAATGATAAACCTGCGAGATCTTTTGGTGTAATTTGAGCGTCCATTGCATCTGGAAGCACAGACTGATGATTGGAATGACCTTTTTGTGTGTTGCGGAGTGTTGGTCCTTTCTTGGAAACAGCCAGCGTCGTAAGAACGTCCAGCAGCCCTTTCAGAGATGTTGCAGCACATGCAGTGACTGGTGTGTAAGCATGCTGACCACTAAGCGCTTTAATCTACGAATAGAAGTCTGTTCGACAATATCATGAGTTTTTGCGCGTACCTTGCTGCAGAGATGACTGATTTCTTTCAGTTGGCTTGTGGGATTGAGAGGATTTCCGGCTGGTGAAAGTCGTAATGAGCACAACCGTTGATATTTAGTTGCCTCGTTGAATTGAACGGGTCCTGGATTACAAAAGCAATTAGAAAACATCCACGATAACCGATTAGCTTGAATTAGTTGGTAGGCTTCACTTTCGAGCGAGCAACGAAGCGCCGGAACATGCAGGCTGACATGCAAATCTGACGTATTCCCACCACTTTGGGACAGAGGGACTTGCGGGGTTTGTTGAACTGGTTTAATATCCATCAATGAGGTCAATGGAATTGCCTCTGCTGACCAATTTTCAACTGGAAGGTGGAGGTTCGATAAACTCGCTAAATATCCAGTTTTGCCGCCATCAATCAATACAGCAGCAGTGAAGCCGAGGGAGAAACTGTCATAAAGAAATAGTGAATAAACAAAAGGAAGAGAAAAATGAACGTTCCAGTTGAACACTCTCACCCAAAATCGCAATCAAATGTCGTTGGAAGAGCCGATCTGCCTTGATATGCAAGAAAGTGCGTCTTGCTATTGAATGACGCCCCCTTTTGTCTGAATGATCCTAGAGATTTCCTTCTCGAAAGCTCTTTTTGCACCAATGTTTTCAACAAAACTTCTGTGTCGATATTTCCGAGATCAATCTAACAAATTCAAATTAAATATACCGTTAATGAAGTCTCATGAGTCGCATTTATATTTAATTTATTTCCAACCTTGTCCGTGTAATCCTTTGAAAATGCAAACTGCCATTGAATTTTCTCAGGAAGTGAGGAGAACAGTGCTGCAGACCAAGGTGTTAATCGCGAACGCAGAAGAGATAAACCTTCATCTGTTCGTGGCCATTCAAATCCTGATACAAAAAAACAGTTTCCACGATGCGCACTGAACGAGCTTGAAGAATCAAATAGAAACTTCATCCAGTAATGAGCAGAACAACAATCATTCTAGTGAACGGATCTCTGACCTGCTCTTCTTGATCTTGCGCTTCCACAATTTGATGATGCTGTTGATTGATCATTAATAAATGATTGAAATATTGCATTAATCTCATCAAATAGCATCCGAATTTCAGGCACATGATCAAGAAGACTAAAAAACGATAAGATGATCGAAAACCGCGATAAAATCATCCCACCTGTCCGAAAGTAAAACAACTCCATACATCATTCCCTTCCCTGCGCGGGCTTCAACGACATCAGCGATTAGATTAGTAATTGAAACGAGGCTCATGTTCTGCAATGAAGATCGTTGGATGACGCAATGCGGTAAACACCCCATATTGTGAGAATCGCACCTTCTCCTCCACTTCTTCGGAAATGAGAACCAGCGTTGGATGAGTTTCGATTGCACACTCAACGCACAAGTGGGACAAATTATTGCCGGAGACGCGCAAGAAATACCATGATTTGGATGAACGACATTCCGCCATGATGGATCCAATCACAGAAGTGAACACACGAACAGAACTGTCATGTCCCAGCGTCTATTAGAAAATGTTCCGATTGAGGAACGACTAGGAATGTGATGACGCACCATTTCGAGAGATGGGAGACCAGATTCAATTGATACCGGAACCGCAATCACCGACGTGCGACAATTTTTTTGTAGAAAGGCTTCAGCTAGAATTGCGGAGGTTGAAACTGTCCCAAACCCACCGCACATGACCAATCCATTCAGCTCAAATTTTCTTGAAATCGCCCAACACGCAATAATGTCGTCCTCAGTGTGACAATATTCGGAAGTCCTGAAATCATAAAATGTATTTGTGTCGGTGGGACAAGTGCATTGTGGGAAGCGCGCAGTGGGACGGTTTGGGACAATGTCCCATGTAAGCAGCGGTTAAAGACCCGTCAACAGCAATCCGACGACGACCAGGCAACAATTTACCTGCACAACAGTTCAATCCCGCCCAGATTGTGATAGGCTTCAAGAAGTTGAGTCGTTATGGGAATTAAATCTCCGTTAATTAATCCTTGGAGTCCTCCAAGAGCCCCGTAACAGATTCCTTTTGGTGAAAGCTGATCCAAATACGTTTTAAATCCCCAGATAACGTTCATGGCTCCAGGCGCAGGTCGACCTTGAAATAGATAACACCATGGATGCCTCTCTATGAGAAGAAGGGTCCTCACCCAAAAAGCAAACCGCAACCTTCAAATGCTGTTTTGCTGCGGATAATCCTGAGGATCTGTTTTGCGACAATAAGTGGTCCAGCTTCTGCGGGTCGATGGTTGTCGTTTCGTTTGGATCTTGAACAACTCGAATCACGTCAGCCGTCACTTTCTGGATGTTCGTTGTCGACATGCTCGCGACGCTGCGACTCCGGTTTTCGTTCCGCAATGTCGTAATGGGCAATCCCAGACGATCTGGGCGTCTGAAGACTTCAGCGGACGCTTCGCGACGCATCGACCCCATCGTCGTTTGACTGACGCGTTCCGGCGTTGGATGTCCTTCTCCGAACGAGTCTTCAGATTCGCAAAGACGTCCCAAATGCGAATCTCCGAACGCCGAGGCACATCGTAAGGACGCGGTGTTGATCGGCAGACGGACAACAGAGCTTGATCCAATGAATCCGCAGATAGAAATGGACGAGATTGTCCGTTGCAGTCCTGATGGCGGAACGAATCGATCTTCTGAGTGGGATGAATGAATTGTTGGTTCGCCGGTTGAGGGGTCTGATATGACATCTGTTTGGAATGGTCCGCCGATTCTCATTTGTTCTGATTGTTTTATTCGAAGTCCGACTGGCACGATTTCCAATGCGCGTAAGTCGTGAGTTGCGGGAAAGACCGCACGAAGGAGAAGTGTGTTGGAAGCGAGACGTGCAGTCACGTCTGAAGCTTCGAGTGTGTATTGTTGATGGAATATATTTGGGAGATTCGGTACATACTCGAGACGACGAAGTTGTAGCGGGGTCAACTGAAAGGGATGTCTGAATTAAGGGAGCGAGAGACCGTCTGAAGACTCGCCTGTTCCGTCGTCTTTCGTGTCGTCGAGCGTCGTCTTGATTTTATGACGACGTCATGTGGTAGTCCCAACATCTCACGGTGAAGCTCTTCCAGATCGTCACTTGCGAGTTTCTCCATTTCTTCAATTTGTTTTGCTTCTGATGGAGATTGAACGAGGCGCTCAAACTGTTCGCCAGGGATGTAACTGAAAAGCAGAGAAGAAGAAAGAATGAAAAAGTGAAACACGCATGACAAGAATAACAATAGGATGCATGCATAAGTGCAGACTTACTGCGCTCTGAGAACAAGAGGAAGATCATCAGGAAGAACATCAATGACGCCCGGAGTGAATTGAACTGGTCCAGGGCATCGATATAAACAGCTGATCTAGAACACCCAAAGGAATAATAATAAATGACATGCAATCATCATCATTCAATCATCATCATGCAATCATCATCATGGAATCATCATCATGGAATCATCATCATGGAATCATCATCATGGAATCATCATCATGGAATCATCAAGAACTAACGGACCTTCCAAGACATTCGATACTTGCGATAACATTTCATCGCAAAACTCGACAAATCGATTGTTCTTCTTGGGACGCAAATTCGATGATGTTTGAATGTTTCGTCGAAGCTGAATGAACTGCAGTTTTTCTTATTTTGAGTCACTCCAAGAAATGATAGAAGAGGCACTCCAGTAGATTTCCATTCTAAAGGAAAGAGTTAACAGGAAAAAAACGACGGGAATTTTCACCTTTAACGGGCTTGTCCAAATCCTGAAGGCCTGAGATAAAATCGACTTCACAGATTCATCATGCTTCGTCACTCACATGCCACGTATCCGTTGTGTCCACCAGCAATTAGAGCTCCTGCAACGTGTGCAAGGCCGTATCCAAGACAACAGTCTGAAAAGATAATTAATGACACAGAGTCGAGATAATGACGCACGGTTCGACTCTGTCTTGTTTACCGAAGTCCGTTGGCATCGCGCAATGACATTCATGATTCATATCGTGCGTTCGATAAAGGAAAGCCTTTTCCGTAGAAGCGTTAAAAGTTGGTCTGTCATGAAACGATGAAGATTGTTCAAGTAGTGCACTCACCGTTTTCTCAGGAGTCGATCCACCAAATGTGCGACTAGAATTTCGGAGTGAATTGGTGGCAACGCAGGACGTCCCTCGTGATCCTGGCGGGTTAGAAGACTCAAGCGAATCTCTTTCGGAAGCAATCGAAATAAGCGTTCAGATTCGTGCGTTAATCCATGAGGAGGTTGAGGGTCGAGCGGGTCAATTAAATTAGGTCCAAAGCAAGGGGAACACGATAGCCTTTCCGTTAGTTCTTCCATCAGAACTTGAAGCTGGAAGAAAAACGATTGAAGATCCGAACAATAGAAATGATACTCTGACCTCAGGAAGAGATTCAACCAGATTCTCAGACATCAGAATTGTCCCTGAACGCTTTCCCAAAGTTTCAGCACGGAAACTAATGATATTCGCCATTTTTTCAACAATTGCTTGCAAACTTAAATTCATCTGATGTGCTTCTTCAGCTATAATGGAGACGGTTGGTCTCGTTACGAGCGCTCCCTCCAACGTTAGAATTGAAGATCCCCCTCGTAAGAAATGATAATATTTTTTCGACGAAACAGAATCAGTAGCAATATTTCCTGGAATTCACAAAAACAAGAAAGGTTAAGAGTGAGTTATCCGTTATTGCCCTCACCTATCAGCTCAGTCGAAATTCGTCTTGCTGTGTCAAATCCTAGTGTTGTAGGGAGATATTCAGGTAAAAAAATATCACCGCCAACGCTATGCGGTACAGCAATGATTCGTGTGTTGCATTTCAATCGAGCGGCAGTTTCCGCTAGCTTAGAAGCAGCTAACAAATCCTCACGGCCAGCGTAGATAACCAGACCATCGATAGAGATGCTTTTCAAGACGTTCACTGCTTGTTCCAATTGAGCCGTATGGACAGCAAGACTACGAAGAGGGCGATAGCTCAATGCTTCACACCCTCCACGATTCAGATACAACGGTAGATCAGCCCCGCCATCGCCTAGAAGAACAACCTCGCCCTTCAGCAATCCAATAGGTCCATCAGGAAACCCGAAGAGCTGAGCAGGAGGCAAGTTGGATGCAGCCGAAGGATGCTGCGGGGACGCTGAAGAGAGATAACGCAACTGAATCCGTTTTTCGGGCTGTTCTGGAAAGAGTGTTAGTTTTTGTGTATTTACCTGAAAGCTGAACGATTTTAGAGGGTTGACAAAACTTCTTGAGAAAATGGAACAGCCCCACAGTGATGTTGTGGAGGCCAGATGAAGTCGTTTCTCCACCAACTAAAATTGCGATTCTCAAGGGGGGGAATTTTCGAACTTCAGAATCAGACAATGATGCACACGAGGTCTTACTCTGGTTGGTTAAACCAGAGATGTTCTGTACAATATCAATGACATGACGGGACGTTGTTGCTAGGTGAGGAAATTCGGATGACAAAACAGTTGTAGACGCTGGATCTTGAAGCAGAGGTGCAGAATCACGTGAGACGCCGTAGCAACTGCATGAATCTTTTCTAGCAGATGCAAGCTTCGATAAGGGCGCTTCTGGAGAGGCCTGAGTTTCACGCTCCTCGACAGGAATTTCTTTTGAATCATTTTCAGGAAGATTCTCGTTCTGATCAAGATCCTGTAGGGAATGCGAGGAGTGAGACGAGACTACTGAAGCTGTTGAGGGAGATTGGGATAAGAGACGCTGTGAGTTAATATTTGTTGCTGAGATACTGTTCTGCACTGGAACAAATCTGAATGGCGCGGTGTCAGGGAGGGTAGATTTAGTATCCTGTGGTGGCAAGACTTCCGCCAATTGAAACACATTCGTGATGTTGATTGAAGAGTCTCTTCCGCAGCAGCGAGAAGCTGGAGAGTGATTTGCTTGATGTGCTTCATGAGAGTGAATTGAGTCCGTCGTTGAGTCTCGTAACCATGCATCTACAGAATTACGGTGGAGTGATTCGATCTCTTGTGGTTGGCTTTCGAAAAGTTGTGGCAGCGCAGGGATGATGCGACAACGTTCTTGTTCAAGAGGTGATAAACACGTGCGTCTCTCCCCACACATCTTCGTGTTTTCAAAACATGGAAGTACAGATAAAGGTTCAAGGAAAACAGTGACTGAAAAAGTGAAGGTATGCATTAACAACGGACGAAATGACGATTTTGTAATCCATGGTCTTGGTTTCTACGAGAATCACGTCTTGGATAGAAACGGGCATCCATTTGTGAAATAGCTTGTTGTGGAGGAAAATCGCGAGAACGTCTCTGCCTATTAAAACTTTGAGGATGCATTGGGGGTGGCGGTTTGAAGTCTTCATCGATGAAGGGGATTGGAGGCGGACATTCCACTCGATGTGAAATGAAATGGTGAGGATCCTACAAAGAGATAACAGTGTTTGTTTCAATTTTTGATGGGAATGAGAATTCTTTGAAGATGCTCACAGAGATTGAAGTACTTGAGATAAAGACAGGCTGTACAGGCGAGAAATTGGTGGCAAAATTATTATTCTTCGAAGGTTGAAACAAATTTCCAAGTAAAGAAATAAAATTTAGAACGACCCTTCTCGAACCCCAAAGAATCAAAGCATTACGTTTGGCATCCAACCTGTAGAAACACACCAAATGAAAACATCACCAAACAATCTAGTGATTGACTTACCAAACGGAATAAACGCCAGAACGTTGAGAAATTTCCTTTAATCGAGCTGTTTTGTCTGTTTCAAGTGACGCTTTCGTTAACTACAAGACGGGAGGGAATGGAGCAATCATTGCTTTGGTTTTCTCACTTCATCAATAAAAACTTCTTGAAAAACAACTTCTAATTCCTCCTTAGCAAAATTAATCTTTCGGTAATCTGGTCCATAAACTCGAATCCGTCTTGTCCCACAATCATCTGGTAGAACACGCAGCTCAACCTGTCAATCAAGAGAAACCTCTGATCAGATCAAGAAATTGAATGGAGATGTTTTTAAGAATTACTGATATTGAGAGTTTTCATTGATTACCTGCAACTCTCTTGCCGCTCTGCTTAGTTTCTCTCCTTGTCGTCCAATCATCAGTCCTATCACGCCCTCGTCTACTGCAAATTCAATCATGCGCGTTTCTTGGTAAGACTCGCGCCTCTCTGATGGCCAATAACTCAACAATCATCGCATTCTATAGAAACCGACCTGCAAGTAGTTTCAGTCGCCTCTCTCTTCTGTCTTGATATTGATGCAGCTTCAGTGTCTTATGCAGACTCGATAAAACCTGCTTTGCCCTGAGGGGAAAACCGTATCGTCAACTTTCTTCTTCGACTTACTGAGAGACAGATGAAGGAGTCCCAACAAGAATCACTTTCAGCGAACTCATTGACTCTCGATTCAAAGAGACCTAGAGATAGAAGGATCATCAATGATATCCGCATGGGATCCTCCAGTGGACACTTCAACAACTCACTTTCAAGAGCTGCGATTTTGTTTTCATGTTTTCAAGGTGAGACACCAAATTTGGTTCCGCCTCTACAAAATCCTTCGGATCGATTGTCCATTCCACTGAATTCCTCACGACGCCAATTTCAGCCAACGTTTTCATTTCCTCCAAGGAACGCAGAGACGACTGTGAGACGACGAGTACGTCGCCAGACTGGTTCACTGCTTTGGTATCAAACGCGACATGGACGGATACGCCGTCGTCCGAAACTCCCGTGACTTGCGCGGGTTTCCAATACGGACGACGTTCGTCGACTCGTACTTCGACCAGAAACTCGTTTTGTGGAACCAATAGATCAGATCCACTTTGCAATGGAGGAAGCCGTACACATTGTAATGGAAGGCGAAATGGTTCCGAGAGATCAGAAAGCTGCACCAGAACAGACTTCGCGTTGGAGTCTACAAGTCGATCATACCGACGTGTGATCAAGATATGTAATCTGTTAATCGCTCGTACCTTCAGTATCCAATGATTCTTTTGGGACAGACGTCACTACTTGATCATTCTTCTTCGGAAAATCGACATCAATGACGATCGCTTCATACCAACAACTCTCATCACGATCCACAACCTCTTGTGTTCTGCAGATTTCAACAATTGAAGGTCCTTCTACGTCGAACTGATACGGAAAATTCGTTGGGACTTCTAGGGAACCGAATGAATTAGTTCTGGATTTGGGACTGTACATATGGATTGTATCCGGATCATCTATATTGAACACTTGTGGCTTGCGTGGATTCATGTTTTGGTGATTTACAAATTCCCTCATCAGTTCCATGAAACCGATCCCATTCCTAATTGTCCCTTCAGACGTTCCAATCAGTCAAAAAAACGAGTTCTTCACCAAACATGCAAGAATTCAACTTTTGGCTCTATTTGAATTCTCCCTTTAAATAACGATCCTTTAAGTCAACATAGCGCTTCCAATTGTTTCTAAAATCAAAGTGTCATCCATCTAGGATTCCCACCTTGTTTACTTCATCTGATACATAAAATTCTCTTACTGAATCCACTTCAGTTCACTCTCATGGAGTGCTCTGACTTTCTTCACTGGTGAGCCAACATAAAGAAAACCACTTTCTAAGATTTTTCCGGGTGGAACGAGAGATCCAGCTCCGATTATTGTGTTTGAAGGCACGAGTGCCCCTGATCAACAAATGGTTCATCAAACATTGATGGTTTATCGAATATTGAATATTGACATCCACTCACTATCCATGATCATCGATTTCATGCCAACTAAGACGTCGTCCTCAATAACGCATCCATGCAACATTGCAAGATGTCCGACGGACACTCGAGCGCCGATCTGGAAACATCAGGCCTGTGATTCACTTTCTTGTCATCGATCACGTACTTTTGTAGGAGCTCCAGAATTCGGTCCTTCCCAATCTCCCGTAACGTGAACAACTGATCCATCTGAGAGTTGGGACAATGAATAGAGCGGGTATCTTGGCATTATTCATCTACCTTGAATATTCGAATTTTCACCAATTTCAATTGAGTTGACATCTGAGACAATCCCAATTGTATTCTACTAACGATACTTCATACCTCCCCGTAATACAACATTCGGCCAGATTCCAACGTGATCTGCAAATTGAACATTTCCAATAATTGTGGCTGTTGGATGAATGAAACAACTTGAAGAAGAGAGTGTTCTTCTTGTCAATAAAGAGGCGCATTTTGGAAAAACCTTTCCTAACATTTGGTTCATGATTCTGTGACTCGGCGGTCTAAGAGAGAGAGTCTGTCGTTTTGTTTGTTCGTCTTAGCGCTAAAAACTATCAGCAAATAGAAGGCGCAGCTGCAGAGATCTTCGGGTACAGCTCAGCGCATTCCTTTCCGACAGGTCCCGTGATTGCCGACCCTTTCATTTCTCCCTTGGGATTGACAATAACACCAGCGTTGTCTTCAAAGTAGATGAAGACGCCCTCTGGTCTTCTCCAAGCCTTGCGTTGTCGGACAATAATTGCTGGGTGGACTTTCTTTCTCAATTCGGGCTTTCCCTTCTTGACAGTCGCGAGCACCATATCGCCGAGAGATGCAGCGGGGAGCCGATTGAGACAGGCACCAATTCCCTGAAGACGTGAAACATATCCGCAGTAAAGAACGAAGAACATAATTGAATAAACAGAAACATTCCTACCTTAACGGCGATGATGTAAAGATTCTTGGCGCCACTGTTATCACAGCAGTTGATGAGCGCACCAACGTTCAAACCGCAGGTAACGCGGGATTTGTTGCCGCCTGCTCCTCGACCTGAAGGCAAAGAGATGATCACAAGGAAGGCAGAGCGATGATCGAATATAAGGAATTGTGGGCATTCGCTCACCTCTCTTCATGTTTCTGTAAAGACGGACTCTAGTCTTGGACGCTGCCTGTCGGACCAGAAGTTTGTGTTGTTCTGGGACCACAATTCCTGTCAATTGGGACAGTCAGTGGCCCAACTTCAGCAGGACTATCGTAGACTGGTGGGAGTTGTTTTGTTGTATGTATCAGATGTTTCACAAAAACAGAACAAATTATAATTGTTGCGCACAAAATCTTCAAGCAGGATTAAGTCCATAGATTGAGTCCCACTACAAGGAAAAGACAAACAAAACGATTGCACGATTGAACGCGTGAATTCGCACTTACTTGATTCCTTCTCTTTCATTAAATTTTCGTAATACTGATAAATAATAGAGACAGCAAGAAGGATTCCAGTGCCGCTTCCAATAGCTCCAAGAAAATCGGCCAGAATCGTAAGAACGCCAACAGCCATTCCTCCAAAAGCCGCCGCAGTCGGAATGTACCGATTCAGCACAGACACCATGGATGTATCTCGATGGCCTTTAACGACAACATTTTGTTCTCTCAGGGACTTTGCAACGTCCTTGGGAGAATTTCCAGAAACAGAAATCCAAGTCTTTGAAAACAACGCACACGTCACCAACACGAATACGATGTAAACCAAAGCATGAAGAGGATCGTGGACTGAAATGGACACATTTATCATAGCAATGGTACACAGACCTAATAATAATAACAGCAGACTTACAGACGGCCCCAAGTGAGAATGGAGGTGAAATGTAATACGCGATTCCTCCAACTGGAATGGAAGGTCCACCGGCTTCAGTTTCTTGCCATTTTCCCAACATTCCAACGATGAGATTCGAACGGAATTTGCTGTAGAGAATTTGGGAGAAGAAGTAGAGATTTGAGACCAAAGCAGTTTGTAGAATGATTGGAATCGAAGATGTGTAGAATAATTTAATTGGATATGAGGCTGTTTGTCCACGAATTCGTTGATTTTTGATGAGAAGATCAACGCGAAATCCCTAAAGGTAAAAAAATACGAATATCACGAACAGTTGACGTACTTGAAAGTAAATGACGACGAGGAAAATCGCGGCTGTAGCAAGCAGATTCATCAGATTTGCACCCGAAGATCGATAGAATGCTTCACGGATGGCGACAAACTTATTGGACTTCGTGAAAAGAAGATGGAAGGCTGCAACAACTGCTCCCTCAAATTCCATACCACGGGCAGTCGTGACTTGAGTCGGTGAAAAAGCCTTAGAATAAAGAAATGTATGGGACAGAAATAAACAACAAAAAAGTACCTTCCAGAAAATGCGTTCACAAATGTTACAAGCAATGAACAAGTTTGTTCCACCGTCGCCAATTCCGTACCCCTTTGATAAGATTTCATCGAGTAGTGTTAGTACGACACCAGCAGCTGTGAGTTGGAGAACGATTAGAACGGCATTCCCAGCACCAAGTTGATTGAGGTCACCATACATTCCAGACATGACGTAAGCAATCGCTTCACCGAGGGTAAAAACAAATCCAAGAACTGAATAAAAGGTCAAAAAATAGAGGGAGTAGTAGGAGATGTTGGGGCTCATAAACAAACCCTAAACGTAAAATTATACGGAATACACCGAGAGAACGATGCGTGGCAATAATTGAACTTACATTTTTGCAGCGTGTTGAAAAGTTGTTTGTCTTCCTTAAGATTTCCATCGTAGTCAATCAACTTTGATCCAGCTAATAATTGCATCACCATCCCAGCTGTCATTAAAGGAGCAACACCAAGCTCCATTAGTGTCCCTCTATTCGATGCCAATATGACTCGAACCCAATATAAAGGATCAGAGGCAGAATGAACAGCAATTCCAAAGATAGGGATTTGCGAGCAAACCAAATAGACGAAAAGGCACCCAATAGTCCATAACGCTCTTTCCTTGAATGCCACCTGATAAAAAATGTTGTGAATTGCGTCTTCAACGATTGGTAGATTTTTAGCGACATGCGCGAGAGACAAAAGAGGCTCTTACCTTGCGCTCAGGCGAAGTGACTTCAGGGCATAGTGGAGCAATATAGCGTCCTAACTCGATCAAGCGGACTGAAACAAACGGAAATAGAAGACGAGGAAATAGTGAGGAATTTCTTACATCTTCTCCCCATATTTCAAATAAAACAAAGCTTTGTTGGTCAGGAGAAAAAATCACGGCAGCAGTAAAATAATGCCCCCTCAACTAGGGCTCAACGATTATGTTGCCTCTTTGAATTAATTGTCTTCAATTTTGCTGCCAATGAGTAGTCCTTGTCTGGATTGACTGCACACAAGCAGCTGACCACGACAGTTGTGAGAAGGGAAAAGTTTTGCTTAAACAAAAAAGCACGACATGACAGTTCTTCATTATCGCGTGTTTGGTTTCAAGTTGTCGCTCTTCACCTGCGCAACAATTTCATCTAATCCAAACTGTTTGCAAATTTTATCCAGAGAAGCAGAAAGAAGAAATTCGTGTCTTACACGAAAATCTCGTGATTTTCGAACATCATCTCCTTCTTGGATAATTTCTCTCGGGCTGGGATCCCACGGGGTGAAATATTCTTGGGATGATCGAAAAGTCTGTTCGTCGCTCGCCAAATCGACACTCCGTCCACCAGTCGAATGCTGGAGTGGTTTATCTTTGGTTGACGCTTTGAAAGGGACCGACGATGCGACATTCTGTCGCCTAACAGACGTACTCGGCGTTCCAATTGAAGTGAGATCATGAAGTGCCGTCGCTCGCGTGGAGACTGAACCTCGTTGAATCGCTCCCCTGCTTTCGTGTTTGCGTTCTGGTGACTGCGTTTTTTCGGGTGCTGGATCCTGAAGTGGAGCAGCAGTAGCTTCGCGTGTCGCGGCTGAAATTGTGTTTCCGTTACTCAGAGCTTCCAGGATTTCTACCAATTTTTTTTCCTGCTCCAATAGATGATCCTTTTGGGTCTGTTGAAGCAAACTGAGGGATCTCTGGGGCGTTCCCTCCGCTGTGTTCATGGGTGTGATAGCTTGGGCAAGAGCTAAGGATCTTGTTCGACACAACAGCAACTCTTGGACGACCGTAAGACGGAACGCTTCGTCTGGTGTATTCGGCGGTGTGCCTTGTTCTCCAACTTGATCATCGCGATTCGGCCAGAAAGACGGATGAATAGTTTGGATGAAGCGCTGAGCCTTCGAAATCGCCGCAACCTGCTCTTCTAACTGAGCAACTGTATTTTGGACATGCGCAATACAAAATTCCAGCCTGCCAGAAACACGTTCCAAGTGTTGCAATCGGATCAATACACCTCGACGTTTTCTTTTATCGCGACCGACAGCGTCTGAGCTCTTCTCGCCGGTTGGTGATGTGTTCGAAGATGAAGATCCGTAAGTTCTTTCAGTCGAATAGTCACGGAACAAATTCGTTGAGAGCTTCCTCATTGCATTGGACATTTGGGAAAGCGACCGTCGGCGATCGTCACTCTGAAGGCTTGGAGCGACGCGGTCTTGAGCGACATCCCTCTGCCGTTCTGGGAAGGCTTCAACCCGCGCGATTGTTGGTTCGTCTCCCGACGACTCTCTCGAATTCAAGTCGACTGCGACGTACACATCGCTTTTGGGACTTGATGCATCAGTCCATAGTTCACCTCGTTCTCCTTCTTCGCTCGATTGGGACTCTTGCGTCTTCGTTGGTTGCTCGCGTTCTTGTGGCCAACCGAAAGACTGGGAATTTCGAATTTGTGGAATCTTGTCGTACGGCTTTGTAGGATCCTTCCATTCGTCAGCCACCTGGAAATGATCAGAATCAGCAAAGAAGACAGAAATTACCCAACAAACCTTCTCTAATGGACCGCCTTTGAACGAAAGAAAGAACGGAAGCTCAGGTCTCGGTAGGGCAGGCTGTTTCTTCGCAGAGCCAATACCGGAAGCAGGCGTTGAGGGAGAAGAGCTGCTTGCCACTTCATAGGCAACGAACTCCCGGCTTGGTGCTGAAATAATGTCATCGAGAATATCAATATTATAACCGTAATCTACAAAGAAGAACAGGGTCAGTACGAGAGCGGAAAGTCTCTTACCGTGACGAAACACCGATGCTTCATCCATTTTCAGGAAGTCATT